GGCCATTTCTAGTCGTGGAATGGTGGACTGCAAAACACATCTCAGAGTTTCAGATCTACCTACTCCTTCTCCACGAAGTTATTATTTTCTTATCCTCCTCGGTGTTGTCACCTGGGTGGAAATCAGTGGCAGTACTGACCGATGGAGTCTTAGGGCCTTCACAGCCAACTTAATGGTAGCTACATGTCCTGCAGAGCCAGCCCACCTCTGTGACTGGATCATGTCTTTCTCACTCTCTAGAAGATGTGTCTTTCAGCCATGTGTGGATTGCTATGAGACCCTTCTCATGGAAGCTCTTATTGGTCAAAGACAACACATCTGGAATAGTCAGAGTGAGAGCTGCTATTTTTGTTATCTGTTTACTTTGAAACAGGCTCTCCTGTAGCCTATGCTGCCTTGAACTCTCTATACAGCTGAGGGTGACCTTGAACTTGTGCTGATTCCCCACCTCTATTTCTAGGGTGTGAAGTACAGGCGTGGACCTCTAGGCCTGATTTATATGGTGACAGGGCAGGCCTCCTATGTGCTAAGCAGGTCTTCTACCAACTAGGCCACAGCTTTAGTGTGTCCAGTGAGTGTGCTGCTTCTCCCCCATGCTTGTCAACTGATTAACACCTTTAAAAGGCTAGAGAATTTTACATGTCTAATATGAAGCAAGAGTTTTGGTTGCCTGCTTTCATCAAGGGTCAAATGGAAATACCAGTGTCACATGACAGCAGGGGAAGAAGACTCAGGAAGTAACAAACACACCCTTGGGAAGTTCCTGACTCAGGAGAGCCTCTCCGCAAGGTTATAGAAGCACTGACAAGCGCTGGAGCATGAGCCAGCTGCCTCCAAGTTGTCCAGGGAACTGAAGGCACACAGCTCCTGGGAGTCATCACCCACACTGGGTCAGAACTCAGGGATGCAGCTGCCTTTGACTCATCCATGTTTCAGTAAGTAACCCAAAACATTTAGGTTCACAAAGCTAGACTTGGGTATAGTGGATAATTTGGTCTGTTTTCAGTGCCCCTGTCTGGGTGAGCAGACATTTGTTCATATCTCCAAAAAAAAGTAACACAGCATAGCCACTCGTGTTATGTGTTGGCAGAGACTCTAGCTGTATTGTGCCAGCCCTGAGAACCTGAGAGAGGCTGGATTCAAAAGCAATGGAGTCATTTGGTGGAGAGAACGTGAAGGCAGAATAGTACTCAGGTTGTGACATGATTTCTGCCATCACTCTTACCTAGGTCTACAGTTAGTGAGTGGCAAATGGAATAGAAGGATGTGATCCAACCCATAAGCACACGGCAAAGAGAAAGCTACCTTGGGAAAGTTGTGGACTTGTGAAATCTCAAAGCCCACCCCTAGTGACACACCTCATCAGATGAGGCCACACCTCCTAATCCTTCTCAAACAGTTCCACTAACTAGGGGGTCACACATTCATGCATAAGGGGTCATTCTCATTCAAACCACAATAACAACTGAACCACCTTTCCAGCCCAGGATGCTCAGTTTTTAAAGAAAGTTTAACACTTAAAAACCAGCTGGAAGAAGGCTGGACCCATCTCTAGGCCTGAGGCACAACTCTGAAAGTGAGTATCCTTTGACGGTAAAGTAATTAGAGCAAAAACCCCAGGAGAGAAGTGAATCACAGACATGCCAAAAAGCCCAACATAGCACAGCCAACTGGACTCAGGTGACTGTCAACAGTGAAAGGGCTTCAATGGAAGAGAGGGAAGCTGATTGTGTGTAATCCTGGAAGGCTGCTGGGAAAGGAAGCCAATGTGATGGCTGGCTCTGCAGCAGGTCCTTCACCATTACTGCCATCAACACATGCTTACTGAGACCCATAAGAACAGAGGCCAAAGAAGGGAGGCAGAGAAGCAGCCCTCACACAAAGCTTGCTGGGAAGCTGAAGGAGAGATTAGCTGGTCCATGAATACTTATAGAGACCACAGAAGAAAAGGCAGCAATGAATCAACACTCAGAGCCCACACAGACACCAGCACTGTGGAAACAGCTTAGCAGGAAACAGAGAAGGGGACAGACAGGTGAGTCACAGACAAGACTTAATGGGATGAGCATGCAGAACATACGCCAACCTTGCTGGTATTCCAAGTCAAAGGAGTGAGGCAGGTGGATGACTAGCTGGCTAACTGACTGATGACACATATACTCTCTATAGGAATAAATAACAAAATGCTGACAGGGTTGCAGGAGACAGTACAGTGGCAGCATTTTACAGAGCTGCATGGGTGCCACTTCTCAAAAATCCTACTTCTGGGGAAACTCCTTGAGGAACTAACACACAGGTCCACAAGGAGATATTTACCAAGTGTTCATTGTAGCAATTTATATGTAGAGAAATTAAAACTGTCCTAGATGTCCCCTTGAACAGAGAAAGGTGATCTCAACATTAGGACTTCTGCAGCTTTTGAGACACCCCCCACCCCAAGAAACAGATCAGATCCACAGACAAGTTTTACCACTACTACAAAGAAAACTGCATGTCACATTACAGCAAGCATTGTTTATGCACTTAGACATGTCAGCATAAAACACTAGTGAAACTGCTGTGTGGTCCACACAGGGTATCACTGAACACAATGCATGCACAGCTACTGAGATCATGATGGGTGAGCAGCACATGGGCTGACGAAATGGGAGCAGAGCATGAGGTACCAAACCACCAGCTCCCATTAGCCTGCACTCAGACGTCACGGAAGGCTCTCTCTGTCTAAGGAGAAGAAGGGGGATTCTTCTGGTAGCCACAGTGATAGCAGGAGTCTCAGGCAACTCAGATGCTGCAGAGGAGATGTTTCCCTACCTTGAAGGACCTTGGTAGCTGCAGGCAGTTAAGCAGCAGCCATAATAATACTTGAGACCACAACAAACCTCAGCTTTTTAGATGAGGCTACAGAGTGGAGCTCTGGGGAACACCAGAGCACTACAGGCATCTGGGAGTCAGCAGTTCAGGAAGTGACCCCATAGAGATACTTCTAAGTTCCAAACCTTACCTCGTCATACACAGCATAATCTCTGGGCCTCTAACGAGCCCTTGAGTGGCACCAGAAAACACACAGGGCAGCTCCACTGGCCTGGGCAGCACCAGGTTGAGACACCACAGACGTGGGGATGATACCAAAACAGCACTGTGACTTGTGGCTCAAATCCAAATGGACTGTTGCATTTTCCAAAGACTTTAAACATGAGGCTTCTGACCTAACATTCCAAACGCCCAGGATGAATCCAAAATTATTCAGTATATAAAGAGAAAAAGAAAATCCCACTTCATGGGAAAATATAAGAGACCCAAGGCCAAGATGATAGAGGCGCTTCGAGTGTCTGCCACAGACAGACGTTTAAGGGCTCCTGAGCTAAGAAAGAGAGGCCTGCAATGCATAAGGCACACAGCTGGAAACCACTTCACAGGAAGAACCCTAGTAACCCCAGAGTTTTCTGCCATGGGTCTATATGCTAGCACAGGAATGTCTGCTGTGGAAAGCACTAGCTTCCATTCCCAGCACTGCCCCCCAAAGAAGAAAAAAAAGATTTCCTGTCCTACTCCCCAAGACTATATATACATCATACGCTGATAAAGTTAAATTACATGGCAAAGGAGGCTCTGCAGACGCAATCACAGTGACTAATCAACAGGCGCTGAGCTGATTAAACAGGTTTATCCAATATGCCTAATCTAAACACAGGAGCCCACAGAAAGCAGAGCTGCCTCTCTGCCTCTCTGGCTAGGAGCAACAGACAAAGTGTGACACACACTGTGATGGTAATCACTATCAACTCAACTGGATTTAGAATTACCATGGAAAAGCAACTCTGAGGATGTTTCCAGAAGGTTTGGAAGGAAGACTCGCTCTGAATCTAAGTGGTACCATTCTATGGTCGGGATCCTGGACTGAAATAAAGAGGATAAAGTAGGCTGGTGAGATAGATGGTGTCCCAGGTAAACATTTCCCACCAGGATTGGCTGGCCAGTGTTCAAGTCTTGGGGCCCACAGTGCAGAGAACTGACGCCCATTAGTTGTCCTTTGAGCTCCACATGCATGCTAGACCATGCACACAGATGCATGAGGAGCACACGCGTGCACACACATAAATAAGGAGTTAAAAATACTTCTCAAACGTGGAAATCCAGCTGAGGATCAGCATTCTGTTTCCTGACCATGGAAGCCATTGGCTAGCCGCCTCCCACTCCTGCCACCATGCCGTCCCTGGACCAGGGACTGACTGCACCCTTACAGTGTGAGCATACACAAAGCCTTCCTTCTTTAAACTGCTTCTATCACAGCAACCAGAAAGGAAGCTAATACAGATGCCAATGATAAGATGCACTGTGGCATACCAGTGGGGCCATGTGAGGAAGAGCAGTCAGCCCTGGGCAGGATCAGTGGGCCAGCTACTCAGCCGATAGACTAGAACGGGGAAGCAGACTCTTGCAGACTCTTGCAGAGCCTCCCCCAGGGAGCCAGCTGAGCACCGCCTTGACTCTGGCCCTATGAGACACCCAGCACTCAGCAGACGACTGGTCAAGCCAGCTCAGATCCTACCTGACACTGAGATACTAAGTGTACAATGATTAAGAAAAAAATAGCTACAAAGTTTAGTGAACAGGTAAGAAACTGCCATAGCAAAGGCCTGCTGAAGCTCATTCTGAGGCAGCCAGTAACACAGCCTGAAACATTTAGGGTCCACTGATCACTCTAAGGGGTAAATGTTCCTCCTCTTGATTTATTTTTTTTCTGAAATACTATGTAACCCAACAGCCAGCAGGCTAAAGCCAGCAGGAGGAACATGAGTTCAAGGCCAGCCTGTGCTACACATGGGTCCTATCTCAAATAAAATGAGATAAACTATGGTCTAAAGAGAGAACACATTCCTTCGTCCTCCTCAGCCTGCTTCCTGTATTTAGGGCTTGCTGGGTCAACGGTTTCCTCCCAGAGGCTCCAGCAGCATGCCCCAGGCCTGTGCGAGCGGAAGCCTAAGCTGCCATCTACTTACACTTTGAGTCTGGTGCACTGGCCAGGCTTTAAGTCCCCCAGCAGCTGCAGCATGGTGTCCAAGAGCACCCGGCTGGAATTCACTAGGAACTCACGGCCACAGGCCATGGCGGCAACATCTGCAAAGACAGACAACACGTCAAGACGGCAGGTGCAGCCTGGAGCACACAGTGGCAGACCATGAGGAGCCGCTCCCTATCCCCTCTAACCTCCACGCACGCGTCACCACACACGCGTCACCACGGATGTGTCATGGCATCAACACACCTGCACTTTCACTCTATTTCTGCCACTGTCTCTCACAGACATGGTGGTGATGGTGGTGATGGTGATGATGGTGGTGGTGGTGGTGGTGATGGTGGTGATGATGATGGTGATGATGGTGGTGGTGATGGTGGTGATGGTGGTGATGGTGGTGACAGTGATTTTTTTTCCTAAGAAGTCACTGGTGCTTCACATTCTGGAAAATTCTGCTTAGCAGATAGTAGAGTCCCTGACTTTCTCTTCACAGATCCAAGCAGAGCAGGTAACCAGTGAACACTGAAACCGAGTGCTGCTTGTAGAGCTCACATGGTACTGGATGAGGACCTGACAGTAGTCAGAGTGACCACACATGAGGAAGTCATGCCATAACCATAGGAGGGAACACTGAGACCTGGGTGTTGCAGCACCGAGCCCCAGAAAACCAGACCAATAGCTATCTGGTCCAAGAAGAACGCTGAGCCGATGACTGATGACCAGTCTTACTGGGGGATCAAGCATGGAGAAATCCTTCAAGAATGGACTCATAACTTTTAACTATGACATGAATGGGAATCCTATGACGTCAAAGGCAGAACGTGAAAACTGAATCCGAACGCTCTCCTAAATGTTCCACCCGACTGTGATCAGTAAACACATTTTTTCCTACCTCGGGCTCTGCAAGTGGGCATGAAGACCAGAGCAGGCCCTGGCCCCAGGACTGGGAGAGCCAGCACTGGCCACCCGGCCGGTATCCACACATAACTATAAGGATTCATCCTTATAGTAAGCCCAGCACACGATGCATGTCTCTGTAGAGTCTTCTTCATCAGGACTAAGAAGACATGATGCAAAACGATGACGGTAAGTAACCAAGGAGGCCAAGATGGAGGGGGCGGGGCAGCAGCAGCCTGCCTCCCCTTGGCTAACAAAATCGATCCTAGGGAGGGCTCCAGTCAGTGGAGTGTCTCATCTGCTTACAGTACTGACTCCATCAGCTGTTCTGACCTCCTCACACACTGTGTGACACACACATGCACACACACATATAATAAAGAATTCTATACACACACACACAGTGGGTGCGCAGAGATGGCTGGTAGTTAGGAGCACTTGTTGCTCTTGTAGCTCTTCCAGAATTATCTACTGACAATCCTAATGGTGGATGGTGTGGAGTCCCCACAAACAAGGAACTACATCATCATCCGCACTTCACCGCAGCACTGTGGCGGTGTGACTGAGCGGAGTCCGGTGGGCACATATATTGAATGCTTAGTCATCAGGAATGGCACTATTTCACAAGAATTAATAGGATTAGGAGTCATGGCCTTAGACACTTGGAGAAAGTGTCACTAGGGATGGGCTTTGAGATTCCAAAAGCACGTGCCAGGCCCAGGTTTTCTTTTCTTTTCCTTCCTCTCTCTTTTCCTCTCTCCCCCAGCCCTGCCTGTGGGTCTGGATGTAGCGCTCTGCTACTGCTCCAGCCCCATATGTGCTGCCATGTTCCCAGCCATGACAATAGTGAGCTAATCCTCTGAACCGGTAAGCCAGCCCCAATTAAATGCTTCCTTTTTAAGAGTTGTCTTAGTCATAGTGTCTCTTCACAGCAATAGAACAGTGACTAAGACAAGTACCTAACCTAACCCCAAGACAGTCCTCTCTGCAGCCTTCCTGCAGCCAAACTCTTCACAGACCAGACAATAGCACATCCAGATTTTCATAGTCTCATCCATAAAGATGAAGGTCTGATCTGCCTTCATCTACACTCAGAAGGTTATGTCTACCAGGACTGAACAAAATCCCAAGTCATGTCTCCCAAGTCTTAAACTGAAATACACATACTCACTTAAGATGCATGCAGCCCTGTGCAGCACTACTGTGTACAGTTCATACCTGATCCTTCACAGTAGACTGACTATGTGACCTCCTCACTCACCCAGCTAAAGAGAAACACATGTTTCCAATAAAAACTCCAACGCATCATATAGGGTCAGCTCCACTAACTGAAGAATGGTAGCAAGAAAACCGAGCAAGGCAAGTAGGAGACTTCTATATAAGAAACTGTATAGGTGACCAATGCCAATTGTCCCAAGTAAGCAAGACACTCACATGATTAAGTTTTACCAAAGACATCAGAGTCACGCCCACTGCATAGAGAAGCGAACAAGCCTCCCGTGATCTCACAGAATCATTCAGCAGCCACCTCTTGGAACCAACCCCAGAACATGAAGCTTTTATCAGTGTGTATGAAAAGTCAGGCTGTGCACCAGGGCCACGGGGATGATTTTGTCTCCACAACATCTGCAGACATTTGTTCTGCTTGTCTGCTCTGCCCACAGAACCGAGAATGGTAGAAATATTAGAAACATCTGCAGTACGTGGGCACCCCTCTGCACAGCATGGCAATACCAAGAAGGACACGCTGTACATGGCCCTCCTGTAAGATCAGTGCCTCTTAGAGCCACCCTCGCTGAGGAAGCTGGGCTTGTTGCAGAACAAGCGAGGGGTGGGGGGTGATTAGGGAAGGAGGGGGGATGAACACAGGAGAAGGCTGAAATAACAGCAAGGATACCTGAAAGGTCACTAGTACCAGCTTACCTAAACATACACATGTGCAGCCAGCCCCAGTTGCATGCTTTCTTTTATAAGAGTTGCTGTGGTCATGGTGTCTCCTCGCAGCAATGGAACAGTGACACAGACAAGAACAACGACTGCACACATAAGGCATTTAATACCAGTTTCTGCTTAGAATACGGTAAACTGGAACTTCTCCGTTCTTCCCCAGGAGGGGAAGGGACATTCTAAAACATCACAGCTTTTCTTGAAGACATCAGAGAGCCAAGGCTGGCTGTGAAGCACCTAAGGAAAGAGACTGAGACTTCCAGGCAGAGACGTGGGCAAGCATACTCAACTTGAGGCAGATGCTCAAAGCCATGGAAGCCAATCCCAACAAAGCAGATGGAGTGTGTACCAAGCCGCCAGGCCAGCTGCTGTGGAAGGCTGACTATGGAAGGAAGGTACAGCTCTACTCCCAGCTGGGATGTTCACTGCCACATGGGCTTATTCAAATTCTCAGAACATCAAAAAGATGAAAAGGAACAAGGAGAATGTTTGCTGTGTGAGAGACTGAAAGATCATTTTGACAGCAAAACAATAAACAGCAGCCAAACAAACAAACCTGGGTTTCCTTTAGGTCAGTTATTTCTAATAAGTGATAGTGACCAGAAGCCCTTGGGGTGCTTTTCCATACTCCAAACACCTGACACCTCTCCTAGCTTACTGAGATAGACTCCAGGATGAACGCACATGCACACGCACATCTGTAATTACCAACCCTGATATACAGCACTGTGTCTGAAAAGTTACCTACTTGTTACAATTCCAGCCAGTGCAAAGACAAATTGCTTTTCATCAGAATCAACCTCCTTGACATCCCCATCCAACGACTTCACAAAACTCTCCATCGTCTGACCAGTGATGTTGAAAAACTTCAATGCTTTGTCCTGAAAGTTAAAAAAAAAAAAAATGGAACTGTCACATCTTTCCACAGAAGCCAGGGTAACACCACCAGAATGGGAAAGCCACATAGGAGAGAGACATGGTGTAATTACAGAAGCAGTCATAAAGAAGCCTGTGCCACCACTCGATGCTCCCGGGAAGGGAAGCAGTCGATGCTGACACTCATACTTGGCCACAGTAGCAAAATCAGTGACTTTTGAGTGTTCAGCCCTTAAGGACACATCTGCATTAACCCCACACAGCCAGGGTCGGGAAACATCACAGAAGACTGGGTGGGAAGAATGTCGGACTTGAGGATAAAAGCAGCACTGCAAAAGCTGTCCTCTGGACATGACAGGACGGCTGCGCTGGTGACTCCCAGCAGCTGTGCTACCTTCACAAAGCAAGCCAGTCCACAACCTAGCACAGACAGGCTTACGAGGCGCTGTGCCTCACCCTGCCTCCCAGAGGAACAACTAACAGTAGATGGCTACTGGGCCAGCGCTCTTCAGGCCTGTGGGCACTGTAGGCCCATGCTCTAGTGGATGCTCTACACCCAGCCATGTGCAGGCAGCACTAATGGCCTTAGTGACATACAGATTACAAAGGAAGTGAACATAGGAAATCGAAGAGGACCTGGGTTATGTAACTGAGACATACTGAGCTCGCATGTGTGTATGTGTGTATAACATTGTCAAGATTTACTTAAAACCAGGGCATGTTTTAGAATGTAAAAGCAGAAAACAAAATCGTAGAGGACAGAACAGCATAAAGGAGCGTCCTGGGTGATAGAATACTCTAAGAGTGGGGATGGTCTCCCAACTAGAAGTTTTCTAAGAAACCAGTGAACCGTTTAAGTCCAGTGGGTAAATTGCAACATGGAAATAATCTTTATTTTTAAGGCAAAGTCTCATGCATCCCTGAAAATTACACTTTAATAAAGCTCAACAAACTGTTAAAGGACACTTAAGACCCACTACTGTGTGTGTTCTCTATGTGGTGACTAGTGTATCTCCGGCTTTCTTCCTCCCCTCCACTTCCATGCCTTCCCCAGAGTCAGACTCACTTGCCGTAGGTGCTCTCTTCCCTCAGCTGTCACTGTCACCTATGCCTGACACCATACCTGTTTACTCCCCCAGCCCCCACATGCCTCCTCCTTCCCCATCTGCCCCACAGAGCGCTGCCCCTCAGCCGCACCCTCATTCACTCACCGTCAAGGTAATCTCCTGTACGTGCACTCAAAGTACTTGCCCACTGCTTCAGGACAGGAGCCCTCCACTCGGTCACGGGACCTCCCTCCCCTTTCTCTTAAAGGAAGACATACTTCTCACTCCTACCTTTTTTGGTTTTGTTGTTTTGGTTTTTTGAGACAGAGTTTCTCCATGTAGCCCTGCTGTCCTAGACTTGCTCTGTAGACTAGGCTGGTCTCAAACTCACAGAGATCCTCTGCCACTGCCTCCTGGGTGCTGGGATTAAAGGTGTGTGCCACCATGCCCTGCGGGCCACTCTCTACCTTTGCTTCAAATGCTTCTTAAAGTGTCCTTAACATCTGCCATTCCTACCTACTCATCAAGGCCCATTTCAAATTCCTTTCCTTATGGGAAGTCGCTAGCATACATACATACACATAGTACTATATACTAGGTACATGTGTATGTCAAATTTCATATGTTTAATTTCTATCTTACCCATGAGGTAAAACACACATGAGCCCTGTGAACGCTGTTAGCTTTTTATGCATACATGAAGTGGTTAATATACAAAAACTCCTCCTGGGTGCTGGGACAGAACATGGCTCTTAATTTTACACATCCCCAGAGCACCAGGTGACACACTGAACACAGCAGGCATCTGGCCACCATCTGGTGAATGAACTTTACAAATCTGCAGCATGGCAGGACTCAGCAGTCAATGTCACAAGGCACATCCAACAGTGCTAGACAACTTACTCCTCCTAGAATGGCTCTGACGACTTCCTCGCTGCTAGAGACCCCCCAGAGGAGGGTGCAGGTGACAGCCCCCATCTGTGTGCAGTACTCTGCCTGCTGGAGGAGCTGCTGCTTTGCCTCATTTAGCTGCTGTCGAAGAGCCAGCTTCTCCTAAATTCACAAATAGAACAAGAGCACAGATATTAGCATTCAATCTCAGGAACCTCTCTCACTGTTCTCTTTCACAATGGTATTTATTAGAGAGAAAGCATTCAGGATTCTAGCCCTTATGAGTCACAATCCACATCTAAACAGTTAAGTTCCAAGCTTACAGAACAACACATGGCTGTTTCACAGCGTATGAAGGATAACTGCAAAGAGCTAAATTCATCCATACTAGTAAAGAGAAAACTAGAGGTGGCTTGGGTCCCAAGTGAGCACAGTCGCGCTGCCAGACTCTGGAACGACCTGACACACAGTCTGCACTGCACTGCATCTTTAATCAGGGAGCCTGTTGCGGCCAAAGATTCACTCAACTGGCAGACACCACACTGAGTTTAGAAAAAGAATTGTAAGAAGTCCCCTTCTAGGCCAATGGTTCTCAATCTGTGGGTCACAATCTCTTTGGGAGGAGGGGTGTCAACCAACACTTTCACAGGGTCACCTAAGACCATAAGAAAATAGAAATATTTACATTATGAGTCATAACAGTAGCAAAATTATAGTTATGAAGTAACAACAAAATAAATTTATGGCTGTGGGTCACGACCACACTGAGGAACTATATTAAAGGGCTGCAGTGTTAGGAAGGTTGAGAACCACTGTTCTAGAAAACATAAAGAGGAACTCCTCATGAGAGGGTCATCAAAGGTGCTGGCAATGTGAAAAGCATGTGTGGTCGTGAAGTGACATCAGATCACACCAGACCTAAGATCAGTCAGGAAAGCTGTGAAGGTTGGTACCCCAGACTCAGGCTCAGCACATGGATAACAAGACCATGGAGGCCAGGGAAGGTTCCTGGCCCTCCCTCCAGCAGCCCTGAGCACAGCTGCAGCTGGGCCAGACTCTCACAGCATCATTAAGGGAAGAAGAGAGCCATTGTCCTGATGGCCCTCTCAACAGGACATCCCGAGGAGTTCTCATCCTCCCTAGGGATCATGTTTCTCTGGTACTAAAGTTCCCTTTAAGGAGACAGCATTTCCTGAGAGATGAACAGGGATGGGAATATCCCTCAGTTATAGAGCACCTGCCTATCATACATGAGGCCCTGGGTTCTACCCCCAGCACTACCAAGGAGGGAGGAATAAACCAAAAATTATAAAAACCTAGGTAAATTCATTTATATCAAAGAGAATTAGTTCAACCACAATTCAAATTATACTAGATGATTGAGGGTTTTTCTTTTAAAGAAGTCAGTATTTAATAATAACGGGGTTTTTTCCCTAGGGTTTCAAGAGAATTGAGGGTGGGACTGGAGAGATGTCTCAGTGCTTACTGACTGCTCTTACAGAGGTCGCAGGTTCAATTCCCAGTACCTGCATTGTGGCTACCAATATCTGTAACCCTAGTTCTGGGGTTCTGACACCCTGTTTTGGCATCCGTGAATACCAGGCTCACACATGGTACACATAAATACATTCAGGCAAAATACCCATACATATATAATAAAAATCAGTAAAAAAAATCTAAGAATCTAAATTTAAAAGCATATGGTTTTCATGTCTGACTTAATGATCCTGCAGTCTGGACTCATGGACACATGTAACTGCACTGACAGACAGAGTAATGGTGTCATCATGGCATATCTCATGGACACATGTAACTGCACTGACAGAGTAATGATGTCATCATGGCATATCTCATGAACACATGTAACTGCACTGACAGACAGAGTGATGGTGTCATCATGGCACATCTCATGGACACATGTAACTACACTGACAGAGAGAGTAATGGCGTCGTCACGGCATATTCACAGGCACTGTGAACCTCTGTTGCCATGTTTTCCCTCCATCACAGCCATGGTCAATAGCGGAGATAATAAATACACCCGTGCCTGGTTGTTCTCAGCTCATTTCCCTCACTCTTACACAGGTCTGGATCCAGACCATGAAATGGCAGCAGCTGCATCCAGGGTGGGTCTTCCATCCCACACAGATCAAGGCGATCAAGACCATTTCCCACAGACATGAACTGATCTCCAACTGCTACTGTCTTTCTCAGCAATTCTAGGCTGTGTCACATCACAGCAGCATGCTGGTAAAGTGTCATGCTTTTTTAAGCTTACTGAAAGCATACTGGGAAAGGGGAGCCCCCTCCTTGTCTCAGACTCCAACATGTTTATGTCAAGTGTCCTCCAAAACACCCTGTCCTAGGTCAGCCCTCTCTCCCCAGCTCTGTAACGGGGGCAAAGAAAAACAGCAAGTAGCTAAGGGGATTAAAAACATTGTGTCCTTGAGAACAGCTAGAAGGTGACCTTTCCTACAGAGATTCTCATTGCTGATCCACAGTCTAATATGCCTGCACTGGGAAGGCAGGCACTGCACTAGATGGCAAGCCTCCCAACCAGTGGCTCCAGCTAGCTGCTTCTTCCCTGCTCCATCTCTTCTGAATGTGAAGCCTCCACTGGATGATGCTCCCTTTGCTCTCGATCAGGCTATACCAGTCATGTTTGATGATGTTATCTGTTACTTGCTATTTGTTCTTTCCCTTTTGGTTGCTACATACCCAATAAACCCATTTATCTGAAACTGCAAGTACAGAACTTTAAAATATATCACAATAAGATCCTGATCCATTATTTAAAATAAGGTAAACGTCAACCTTCCAACTTCAATTAGGCATGGCAGTACACACACAATCCTAGCACTCAGGAGTCAAAGGACAGAACTGGGGAATACACAGCCATATTCTGTCAAGGGGCGAAGGAGGGAGGCCATAGGCTGAGAAAAACTGCATCCAATTTGTATCAGGCCTGCCACGCACACCATACTGGTTCCAGATCCGCTGAGTCAGCCAACAGAGGCCTGAAGCTACCCCAGCAGACTTTTTTGTAGGTGCTCCCAGCTGAACTCAGTACCTCACTCTCATATAGCAAGCACTTTACCCTAAGCCATCCCCCAGCCGGAGTACAATAGCCATTTATACAGCATTTACATTGAATTAGAGAGCACAAATAACTTAATTAAGGCATATATGTGTAGGTTGCATGCAAATACTGAACTTATTCACAGAAGGGTCCCTAGGACTATCCACAAGAGGTCCTGGAACTGATTCCCCTTACATACTGAGGGACAACTGTATCTGAAAGAGGGCAAATAATCCAACCAAACAGCAAAGAAGTATTGGGTTCTGAGAATACTACAGTGGGAGAAAAATGTCATTCGTCTTACTCAGCTGTGACCCCTAAAACTAAAGAAATGACTGTCCTGGCAAGATAGACCACTAGTGTAAGGTGGCGCAAATGCAATGGAGGAAACCATCCTGTCCTGAGTGCTTCTCTTTATACCTAAAGCTTAGTCCATCTCTCAGCCCTCATCAGAGACACTTCTTTGTTAAGATGCCAACTGATTCAGAGACCTACCACCTGTCAACGTGCAGAATACTGTAGAGTGCTCAGCTCTAAACAGGACACCTATACTATACTATACACACACACACACACACACACACACACCATGTACCACTCAGAGACCATTGTGGAAGAGAGAGCAGAACAATTTTAAGAGCCTAGAGGAGTAGAATCTGAATCACAACAGAAGCTGCTGGCATGCACACATGGCATCTGCACACATGGATTCATGAACACACGGAGCTGGGGCTCCAGGCTTGCACAAAGTCAAGTCAGCCACAATCCCAGCATGGAGGGGGTGGAACTCAAGAGATTCTACCCCGGTCTGAAGAGCTATTAGCAACTGATGGCTGCTGGAGGAAAAAGAATCATTTTCTCCAGGGATAAGGCCCCTGAGGGACCTACAGATGGTCTCCTAGCGTGCACACAAGCCCACACTAAGTGGACTCTGGGTACTGAGAGAGCGAGCGAGACTGTGCGAGCTCAAGGGCACCGTGAAGCCAGGAGGGAGAGTGCTGCCGGGGTAGGAAAGCAAGTGGGGGTAGGAAAGCAAGTGGGGGCAAAGTGATCAGAGATGGATTGGATCCAAACGTACTATATGCATGGATGAATATCGCATAAAACATTGTTTTAACTTTTAAAACAATTATCAAATAAAGATCTCTTGTAAAATTTTTCTATAGTTCATTTCATATTTTAGCTAGATTATACTACCAGCTCATTTTCTTTAAGAGGTTTCTCGAAGGGCTAGAGAGATGGCTCATCAGTTAAGAGTATACACTGCTCTTACAGATGGCCTGGGTTCCATTCTTGTATAATAATAACAACAGCAAACTATAACTCAAGTTCCAGAGATTCTGGCACTCTTCTAGACTCCAGGGGCATCTGCACACACATGGTGCACATAAACTCACACAGGCGCGCACACACGCACACATACACACACACAAACTTAAAAATAAATAAACTTTTTAAAGTTTCTTGAATCACTGAATTAATGTTTCCATCAGCTTCCTTTTGAGCATGCTAAAAGTAGCAACTCTTTCCTAATAAATTAAAAATAGAGAAAATAAAATATTAACAGAAAACTGACAGTTCTCTCTTGGCTGATTTGCTAATGGGGAAAGGCACATCCCATGAGATAAAAGTGCATGGAGCCAAACATGCTGGTGAATGCCTTTCATTCCAAGCTCTTGGAGACTAGCTGGGACAGAAGATCGAGAGCTCAATGCCAGCCTAAGCTATATAGAGTTGAAGGCAGCTCAGGCTCCATAGCAAGACCCCATCTCAAAATAAAATCAATAAGATAAGTTAGAGGAGGAGGTGCAGCTGCAGCTGCCTTTCAGTAAGCACCTGTACTGAATGATACAAGGGCCAGGTCTCCAACACTCAAAGTATTATTGTGGACTAGAACACAGAAGTAGTCTCAGGCAGGAATCTAAATATTAGGCAAGAACAAGGACATAGGCTCCAGACATGAAAATGACCTTGGGCTAGGTCAGGGAAGTAGACTCATACACTTTGGTCATCCTGATAAGCCCTTAGAAACAGTGATCATGGGAATGTTCACATAAACATTGGGTTTAATGCCTTGCTTGTTCTTTGACTATTTGTGTTTACTGTCTTGCTTGTTCCTTGACTATTTGCATCTATTGTATTGCTAGGCCCTCAACCGAGAACTGACCTTAATACATGCATGTAATCAAAATGGTATAAAGGCATAAAGGAAGAGGGGGTATAGGATAGGGGGTTCTAGGGAGGGGAAATGGGGAAAGGGGATGACATCTGTATTGTAAATAAATAAAATATCCAATAAAAAAAGTATTATTGTTGTCACAGCATGCTGATACGCTCACCTTATTGGAAATGAGGGGATGGTTTAGCTTTGACTGTTTTTCTATTTCCAGTTAAGTTGAACAGTTCACTGGTTGAACAGGGATAAGCAAGCTGGCTATAATAAGGCCACTTGTCTCCTGCAGCTGTCTTTTCTGTAGTGCTGTCTGTGGTCCCTGCCCAGGCCTGTGCAGATCATGAGGCAGGACTAGAAGCTTATTTTAGAGCTGAGGAACCAGGAAAGAATCCAGCAACTAGGAGACTGAATTAGATTACTGCCAGTAAGTTCTTCAGTATGGGTAAAAATCATGAAAAGACAGGAATGACTGAACCTAGTATGTAAGAAAAGTATAGACTCTAAAACATGAGCATGCTGTGCACGTGGCAATTCCTGTGCCCCTTGGAGATGAAGACTCTTACACAAGGGCTTTGCTAAAGCTGCAGTGAAGTCACTTCCTCTCCTTCAACACAGCAACACAGTCGAATCACTGGAAGAAAAGAGCTGGGACTGGATACCTGCTCTTGGAGTGCCGAGGCCTGCCAGGGGAGGAGTCCTGGCAACAGCAAAAGGTCTCGGTGCTGCGGTAGAGGCACAGCTGTTGCTGTGTTTGTTTATTAAACAGGCAGATCTCGAAGTCACTATGTAACAGAGGATGATCTTAAATTTCTGACCTTCCTGCCTCCAACTTCCAAGTATGAGGTGTATACCACCATGCCCATTCTATTCAGTACCAGAGATCAGACCCAAGGCCTCGTTCACCACCCCACATAAGTGGGACATGCCTGCTCACAGTGTGTCCACCCACGAGCCTTTTAGTACTGAGCTGGTGCATTGTTAGTCTTTCATCACTGACAAATGCCTGACAGAACAATGAAAAAGGACAAAAACTGTCTTTTCCATCAGTTTCAGGGCAGTCAGTTGTGGAACAGTCAGACTGTTCCACAGCTGTAGTCAGGACAGGACAGGACAGGACAGGACAGGAGAGCAGAGCAGAGTTGCTCACCTCATGGACACCAGCAAGCAGAGAGAGAGAATGGTCCCATGCTTTCTCTTTCTTACCCTTTTGTCTATCTGGGTTCTCAGACTATTGTATGACACAAGCAGGGTTCAAAGTAGCCATTCCCCACTTACTCACCACTAGAAATACGACCACAAGCACAGCAGAAACGTACCCACAAATGTCCTTGGTATTTCTCAGTCCAAGTTGACAATCACGATTAACTAACACAAGTGCACCCTCTGTCAACCTAACACCCAAACATATCTCTTAAAACTATACCTAATTCCCAAAGATTGCAACAAGGCCATAATTAATAACACATAACAGAACCATTCTATGTATACCCTAAAGTATTTTAATTCATTTCCTCAGCATCTCAATAGTTCCAGCACTGCTCAATAAGACAAATACAGTTTCCTGAGACCCAAGACAAGTTCTCACCTGTGAGCCCCTATAAGGTCAAAAAGAAAGTTTTGCATATCCCAAGTACACAGTAGAATAAAAACCTCCAATTCAAAAGGGGCACAAGGAAAGGAGCAAGGAGACCACAGCAAGATAGGAATCAGCAGAGCAAGTGTAAGCGCCTACAGTTCCATGGCTGAGATATGCAGTGGTGTTATCTGGGGGCCAAAAGGCTGAGGGAAGCCATCCCTCCTGCCCTCCTGTCTAGAGCTTTCCTTGGCAGACAGTTCACACTTGTAGCACCTTCAGTGTCCTGGAGTCTCTGCTCCGTCTCACACCCACTTCTCTCCCAAGGGCTACCTCCAAGTACTCTCACGTCTGTCACACATCATCCGGCCTCCCCAGCATTCCTTGAATCTGAGCAGACGCCTCTATGAGCTGTCGTGCATACACAGCATCAGATGGAGGACATCAATGTCTACCACCAGCTTAAGATATAGCTAAGCCCCAGAGAAGACAAATGCATTGACTGTTCTAGTCCAGGTCCATCGCAACAGTCCCGAGCACAGTCTTTACTTCTGGATGTCTATAGTCATTCTGGTCTTATGACTTCCTCCCCCAAGATCATGCAGAAGTAATATTCACAGAATTTTAACCCGTGCTGGACTATGAGTATCTGGGTAACTAAGGTTAGAAAAACTCAAAGAGGGCATGACCATATTACAGCTGAGTAGATCCGTTCTTGTCTAACATGCACAAGGACCAAGGTTTGATCTCGAGCACGTGCTGTGTAGACCAGACTGGCTTCAAACTCACAGAGATCCTCCTGCCTCTCTGCCTCCTGGGTGCTGGGATTAACACCAGGTTGTACTCTTGATTGTAGAGTGAGTCTGCTCTCTGCCATCACTGGGCTGCCTCAGGTACCTGTTCTACTGTCCTGGTACATACAGTGGTGCTAATCTCTAATGATTATCCATTTATTGGTCCCAATTTTAAATGTGATTTTTTTTTCAAGCCAGCTTTTTAAATTTTTCTAGTCTGTTTTTCGCTCTCAGTGTTCATTGTACATCAGGCTAAAAGTGGGCAACAAAACCACCGTGAAAGCCCGAATGCTAGGCTGTCTTAAACTTTCCTTTTCCAGGGACTGGTAAGATGTAAGTACAGCAGACCCACAAAGACCACTGTGAAACTGTTTCTTCTAAATATGACAGGAAAGCTATACCACTGTAGTACCTATAAGATGGTTGCCTTCAAAAGACCTGAACGATTCCAACATCAGCTGACATACTAACGTGAATGAGGAAAGCTCACAGGGCCGACTTCTAAATGAAAAACTACAAGCAACCTACACGTGCTAAGAGAGGGAGAATTAGTTTTACCGAGGAAAGAGACCCCAAATTGACTATCCATGCCAAGTGGTCAATCCTAGAGCCATATACAAGCAACAATAAACATTCTCAGCAAGTTGCATTTATATATGTATTCATTTATATACTGATATATGTATACTTCAACTTTATGTAATTCACACAAAACCTAATCCCCAGGTTTAAGAATAAACCATATTCTGCTTACTCAATATTAAAATACAAGCCAGCTCTACCAGTTTTCAAAACCTCTGCTATAGCCACAAAATTTCAGAATTCCTTAGCACACAGGCAGTACGGCCCTGGACCAGCTATTCAGTCGCTTGTACAATAGTAATACCCGCTGATTTCCCTGTGATCGCAGCACATGAGACACAAAGGCTGTGTGCCTGTGAGCACAAAACAAATATCCAAAGCGTACTAGCTGTAATTGCTCTGAACTACTACTGCTTTATTATTTTAAAATACAAGCCCAAAATTCTACGTGGAAGCACAGAACTAGATTTATAGTAGATGAATTAATATATGTCACCCTGTTGTAAAAATATGTTCAAAAAATATTATAGGGACTAGAGAGATGGCTTGGCAGTTAAAAGCGCTTGCTGCTCTTGCAGAGGACCTGGGTTCAGTTCTAGCACCTACATGGCAGCTCACAGTGATCTAGAACTCCAGTTCCAGGGGATCTGACACCTTCTTCTGGCCTCTGGGGAAATCAGTCCCACACATGCTGGACAGACATACATGTAAGAAAAATACTTGTACATATAAAATAATTTTTATAAAGAAAAAGATAGTTTCCCCAATAATAAAATAAAACATAATTAGTTATTTTCTAAGTATCAATAAGTCATAACCAAATTAATTAGAAATATTTCTAACTTAGTATATCACCAATTGTAAGTTATTTGCTTCCAGATTCTTACCATGTTATAAGAATGTACAATAAAGCAGACTTGTTTTGTTTTGTATAAGCAGGGTCTCCCTATGTGGCTCTGGCTGCCCTGGAACTCACTATGTAGACCAGACTGGTCTCAAACTGACAGAGATCCACCTGCCTCTGCCTCCTGAGTGCTGAGATAAAGGTGTGCACCATCATGTTCAGCTGAAGCCGACTTTTAAATATAAAAGTTAAAAGGTGGCCAGTGAGATGCTCATTGGGTAAAAGTACTTGCCACCAACCCAAAACCCACATGGGGAAGAAAAGAACCAATTCCCACAAGTTGTCCTCTGAACTCCATACAAAGTGAAGCATGCACAAGCCTGCATAATACACACAAACATTCACACCAGTCTCTCACACCCACGAACTCTAAATGTACAAAAAAAAAAAAAGTACACTAAAAGGAAGTGAATGGTCTACCTGTTAAATGGTTATAAACTCTATTAAGAGTTCATCTACCTTCAAACCTACTCAAAAGCCACATCTAACTAACCCTCCTGAGGGCTAACAGAGACAACGTGAGCTCAGTTGCTCCTCAGGAGCAAAGGCAGGAAAGCAACAGTGCCTGGACCCAACCCCTGCAGGCACCTCGCCCAAGAGCCTACCTTCTTCTCCCTCCCACTGTCTGCCTGTGCAGTTTCTAGCCGGGCTTTGAAGTGTTCACGGTCCAATCTCAGCTGCTCTAATTCTTGTTCTTTTCTTTCCAGGTCTAGAAGAGACAGAAAAAAAAATTTAAGACATATCAAACCACATACAACATTCTTTTGTTTTTGTTTTTCAAGACAGGGTTTCTCTGTGTAGCCCTGGCTGTCCTGGAAACATACAGCATTCTTATAGTCCTGTGTCTAAGCTCTCTTCCATTTTTCAAGCCATACTAGAAATACTTTTTGTGGAGGGGGTGGGAATGGATGCTGGAGAGTGAACCCCGTCCCATCCCATGCACACTAAGCACAACATGGTACTGAACTGCCTCTAGCTCTGAAAGAAATTCTCCTGCTATCTTACTTTGTGATTTTAAGACCTCATTTACTGCCAGACGGGTACTCAAAGCTTCAAGAAAATGAGTTATTTAAAGTACTGAAGGCAGAGCTGAGAAGCTTGACTATCTCATGGCACAAACGTGTGTCTGTGCCATAAAAAGCAGAAGGCATCTCATGAGTGGCTGGTGCCAGCAGGAGCTGACTCACAGAGCAAGTCCCACCAACTGGCAGACTGACTCAATGGAACAACTACAGTAGTACTCAATGAAGGCGGGAAGCAGCAGAGATCAAGACAAGAACACGCTACAGTGAGGGGGTAGTGACGATGGAACACTTCCTCTCCACCAGCATTTAGCTGATGAGTCAAATGGCCAACAAAAAACTCAAAAGACACCCACATCAATAAACCAACGAGAAGCATATTATCAACTTTAAATACCGTCATACTGCAGAAATACCACTGTTCAAAACAATTGGGTACTTAATTAAAAATTTTAAGAGTCTGATCTCAAGGCTAAGAAATCAAACTCTTTTTTTGCCAATATATATACAATACATATACAAGCCTAATATGCTAGGCTCCCAGGGGGCTTGGGCCTGGTTCATGGAGTTTGTGATTCCATGAGTTTATTAGGTGAACCTCAGAACTTACATTTCTTTTCCATGAGGTAATTCTTTCCTATTAATACTTTCATGGCCGTATCTACTACATTTGGCCCCTTCCCCCCCCATTATCCACTTTCATGCCCCTCCCCTTCCTGATGGTCACCTTACTGCCAAGAAGCCTCCTCTTACTCCCACGGCTTGTGGCTGCTGTTGAGTTTAATTCCTGTTGCGTGAAGCACAGGCGATTTACCGGTGACTACACCACTGAGGAGAGTGACTCCTCTTCCTCCTACAACCAGTAGCTGCCAATAGCTCCTCAGGGAGGGGTAAAGAGAAGGTACATTTCTTGTTTTAAGATTTATATGTGGGGACTGGAAAGATGGCTCAGTGGTTAAGAACAGAGGCTGCTTTTGCAGAGTTTTGTTCCCAGAACCCACATGGCTGGCAGCTTACAACTGCCTGCAACTCTGACTCCCACTTCTGATCTTCTCAGTACCAAGCATGAGCATGGTGCACAAACATACATACAGGCACTCACACACACACACAAGAGAAGAAATCCTTTCTCTCCTGTATGTTTTGCCTGCATATATGTATCTGTACCGTGCTCACACCTGGTGTCAATGGAAGCCAGGAAACAGTGTCAGATCCCCTGGGACTGGAGTTGCAAACAGTTGTGGGTTACCGGTACTGGGACCCAAATCCTAGTCCTCTGCTAGAGCAGCAAGCCATCTCTCCAGCCCAAAGAAATTCAATTTCTAACAAGGTTCCTAGGTGAGGCTTTAAGGGAATTACACTTCAAACCCAACTACTTCAAGTCAGCAGCCTCAGCTCTCTCCACCAGCAGCAGGAGAGGAACACACCGTGGACAAAAGAGCTCAGCTCCAGCAATGGGAGCATAAACGAAGGGTAATGGAACCTGAGTAAGGAGAGTACCCCTGGGAACATATGGAAGACCATACATGCCTCCACCTCAAGGAGAAAAGGTTTACAGGCTGATAATCAATCATGTGCAAGCAAAGGAAGGGGCAGGCTTTGTACTCCAAAGGTCTGAAAAGGCAAAGGGACACTTACACCAAAAACTCCAAGGACTGCCTAGAGCCACTTGGCATCCCAAGCATTCTGGAGAAAGAACAAGGAAAGTGTCTACATTTCCTTGAGACCCTGTCCAAGAAGGAAGATTAGAACCCAAAGGTCAACAACAAGTTGGAGATTATGAAACTGGCTGGCAAGATCCCTTCACATTTCCTAGAAGCATGCAAGCCTCACTGGGCTATTTATTCTCCCCTACGTCAGAGCTCTCTTCCCTGACTTTTCAGGTATGTCATACCATATGAACTCTCCTTTGTCCCACTAATCCTGACCACCCAGGAAACCAAAGACCAATGGGCCTTTATGCCTTAAAATAACACTGTTGACTATACATAAAACCGTGTTCAATGTTACCTATATCTACATATATGTATAAGTATATGTGAACTATGAAATACATAATATACAATCAGACAGAAACTAAATAACTAAAACTATCAGTTGTTTCCATATTTTCTCTTTGCAACTAAGTCCTAAAGTCTGCTTCTATTATTAAACTTTGCTACTCAAACACAGCCAAAAGGAGGGAGGTAATTAAATCTCTACAAATCTTGTCATGTAAAAATATATAGAAACCAATTTTAACCACCCAACACTTTCATCATAGTAAATTCCTCTGTGTAGCTTTATGTGAACTGCTGCAGGTTTTCATACCAAAGCAACAGGTTCAACAAGGCCCTTGTCACAATATGAAACCCAGAAAATTCCAGGCCACCCTGCTCAAGAGACTGTCCATCCCTACAGCAGTCGTATCAGCTGTGTCAGACCACCGCCTAGTGGCCTGATGGGACCATTGCAACCTACCCCCACAGCTCGGACATGAGATCATCGAGTTTTGTTGCACCGCAAGTGCTTCGGAAAGTGTACAGAATGTTGTAGACACTACCTAAATATTTTCACACAAGTTATCACTTTTTTATACATTCTTCACCTTTCTGCTTGGTCAGAAAAATACACCTTCAGTTAAAACAAAAGAGCTCCCTTTAGAACATACTGCTTTTGTTTCTAGGGTTTTGTTTGTTTGTTTTTCAAGATGGGGTTTCTCTGTGTAGCCCGGGCTGTCCTGGAACTCACTCTGTAGACCAGGTTGGCCTGGAACTCAGAAATCCGCCTGCCTCTGCCTCTCAAGTGCTAGGATTAAAGGCATGCGCCACCACTGCCTGGCTAGAACATACTGCTTTTAAGTCAGGTGGTGGTAGTAAAGTCAGGTTGTGGTAGTGCACACTTTTAATCCCAGTACCCAGCAGACAAAAGCAGGCTGATCTCTGAGTTCAAGGCTAGCCTAGTCTACATGTTGAGTTCCAGGATAGCCGGGACTATACAAAGAAACCCTGTCTGGAGGTCAGGGGACAGGGGAAATATACTGTCTTTGGCCAGGAGTGGTAGTGCATGTCTTTAATCCCAGCATTTAGGAGGCAAAAAGCAGATCTCTATGAGTTCCAGGCCAACCTGGTCTACACAGCATCTCTAAAACAGTCATTAAAAATAATACATAAGAAAAACACAAGAAATATATTGCCTTTGCAAATGCTTTAAGTCTACATTAAGAAATAATGTAGACAATGCAGTGACTGATTCACAGAACAGAAACATCTTACACAAACTCTATATGAAAACAAGGTGTCTGTCACCCAGCCTAGCTGCTTTTGGCACTCAAAACAGGAGAATCTCTGGCGACATAACTGGGTAGAGGGCGGCACACTAGACAGACTTAGGAACATAGGGAAGCCATCTCTTCCACAGACATTAAAAATAATACATAAAATGACTATTTCAACAGCAATACTCTGGACAACTATCTTTATATAGCTCTGGCTTTGTTTGGGGGTTAGAACAAAGTCTCACTGTATTTTCCAGAATCCGGCTGCCTCACCCTCCCCAGGGCTGGGATTATAGGTGTGCGCCACACATAGCCTGATAGGTTTTTGAAATTTTTGGGTGGTGTCAGTAGCTGGTTTTTTGAATGCAGATCAGAAACATTCAGATCACACTGGGATCCAGTTTCTCTTCCCCTGTTACCTGGCATGTCTATAACATGCCATCAGTTGTTTTCCATTAATGTGAAATACTTTTTACCACAACAGCTGTCTGAAAACACAAATACTTTTAACTACCCGTTAACTTTTTCCTTCCCAGTACTCTGGAAGCTTCAGAGAGATGAGTGAATACTGACAAGTATTCATTCCATCTTTACTTTGAGCTGAGGCTTGGGTGGTATGCTCGCTTCCCAGCACATGAAATGTATGTCTCACCGTCTGCAGACTTCCAAACCCAAGTGCAAGTTAGCAGAGCCAAACTCACTGTGAAACCTTGACAGGCAGACCTGTTCCTTGCCTCTTTCTGCCCAGCATTCCCTGGATTCAGAAGCACTTTGGGAGGCTCTACCTCCACCTGCACATGGCCTGTTCTTCACACAGTCTTCCCTTTCTGGCCTTCCTAAATCTTCACAGACCTCTGTGACCACGTTTAAAACTCTCCTGACAAGAAAGTCATATTGGACTAGAGCCCAACAGGTCTCATTTTACCCCTTTTTCCAAAGTCCCATTCTGAGGACCTGGGGACTATACTTGAAGATATCTTTTCAGGAAAATACTTGACAGATATCTCTGCAACATGCCAGGGTTTCATGAGACTGTCAGCCCTTCGTGAGGCATTCCTACTCACATGGTTCTCCAAAGCAAACAGACACCTCCAGAATGATTCTACATCCGATGTTTCCCAGAAATAAGCTGTTGCAGTAGCTCAAAGGCCCCAGAGCTAAGGACCCAGCTCTGGGCCACTATTCCAGAGGAGCTGTTAAGTAGCTCAGGTGCATAGAATAATCCAGTGAGCCACAGAAGACGACATACGTGTACCTGTTGAACACTGTTTTAGTCTAGCCAATTTGTTTCCATGGTGGGCAGACTGTACACTGCACAATCTGCATTTTCCAACATGCTGAACTAAAATCCATTTGCCTACCATACCAAATGTTGTCCCCTCTCTCTTGAATAAACTACTTCTAGGATGTCTTTTAATTGTCCTCTAAGTC